CGAATGATGACGCACCTCCTCCTGTTCCCCTCAGCTCCCGGCCAAGCGCCGCGCAAATCGAGGCGGTCTCAGCTAGAGTGGTTGAGCGTGCAAATGACTGTCTCATCTGTCGCGACTTTTCCGGGCCGGATGGTGTTGCTGCTCAGTATCCCATACACGCCCTACCAAGGAATGATCCTGTCGGCTACTTGGCTCAAATGCTCTGCGGACCCTTCGCGTCACATACAGACAAGGCGCGGGCAATTTTCACCTGGTTTCACCATAATATCGCTTACGACTGCGCAGCCTTCTTCGGCAATAACATCAGGGGTCGCTCGGGAGCTGAAACAATTCTCATGGGCAAAGCGGTCTGCTCAGGATATGCAGACACGTATAGAGAAATCGCTACTCGCGCGGGTCTTGAGTGTATCACGGTGGTGGGCCACGGAAAAGGGTATGGATATACCGCGCTAAAGAAGGGAGAGCGTCCGCCGCCGAAAAAGGCTGACGGCCATGCTTGGAATGCGGTTCGAATCGACGGCGGGGAGTGGAAATTGCTCGACGCCTGCTGGGGTGCCGGTAACGTTTCTGATGTGACAAAAGACTACACTAAGTCTTTCAAGCCGCACGAGTTTACAAGGAGGAACGATATATTCGGACTATCGCATTACCCATCCGATGACCGACACTTCTTCCGACCCGATGGCAGAGTACCGTCTTGGGAAGAATACTACATCGGCACAGTACACGGCGACAAACCCATCGTATACACTCATGCGTACGAAGAAGGCGTTTGGGACCACACCGTCGAACCCAAGGAGCTCCAGATACCCGTCTACAGTAGTCAAGTCGTGCGCTTCCAGTGGTCCAATAAATGTGAACACTGGACCTCGGAGAAACACGGCTTGGGGAAGCCCCCGTTGCTGTTCCTCAGTATCAAGGGGCGGGACGGCCGCAAGGACGACATGGTGCCTATTCAAACGGACGGATTCTGGCACTGGGCCGACGTCAATGCGATAGACCTCGGCGCGCCGGGCCAGAGCGTTAGCGTGGCCATGATCACCTCGATCGACGGGCAGGACGCTAGAGGCATGACGGCCGACTACTACTTTTCGAAAAAGGGGAGGTGCGGCATGGCTTGGACGTTCCTCATGAAATGGGAGCTCATTTGAGGGGCAAGGGGGAAGACACGAGAGAAATGAAGGGAATCTCCAACTGACGATTGGGACGGCCGAAACATTATATCGTTTATAAATAATGATAATGGGACTCTTTGGATCACGCACTGTGGTCCTGGTATCTTTTCGGGATCATGCTCTTATTTCATCGCCTTGAACTTGTCTACTTCGCCCAGGGGCCGGGTGAGAAAAACCAAGTTTAGCCAACTCTAACCAAACTACCGCCATTAGATGGTCTCTTCGGGTAATCACTGCTATAATATCAGACGAAACACTGCTACAGCGATACAGGACGATGATTTTATCGATTGCGCACAAACTCTACATCTACTGGGTATCTTGCAATTTTATCATTCTCCCTCACAAAGCCCAGTCCATCTGACACTTTTTTTTCCCACTCTCCACCTCAAAGTTCCAGCTTCTGCCACTTGCGCAACCGCCCGCCGAACCGATAAATCAGCGCCGGCACGGGGATGAGCGCAACGGCAATGAAACCCAGCAGACTGTTGCCCCACCCGAGGCCTAGGGCGTCGTACATGGACGGGCCGGCCATGGGCAAGAAGGCGGCGACGACGCTGCGGAAGACGGTGAAGGCCGCCATGGCGGAGGCGGCGTAGGCCGGGTAGGCGTCGATGACGTAGGCCTGGATGGGCTGCCAGATGCCGAGGATGGCGATGCCAAAGGGCAGGAGGCCGACGACGGGCGCGGCCCAGTGGGTGTGGAATTGGGCGGTCCAGCCGTACCAGAAGAAGGTGACGGGGAGGAGGGCGGCGAAGTAGATGCAGTCGGGCAGGCGCATCTCGGGCTCGTAGACGCCGTTGTTGGCTTTTGTCATGCGGACGACGGTGCGGTCTGAGAGGAGGGTGAAGCAGGCCATGCCGATGAGGTAGCCTAGACCGAGGGGTATGTAGACGAGCCCCGTGGTGCCGACGGAGAAGCCGTAGGTGGAGGAGAAGATGAGGGGGATGGTGCTGAAGAGGAGGTAGAGGACGCCGTAGGCGAAGGCGCAGTAGAGGCTTACGCTGAAGAGGATTGGGGAGAGGAAGAGCATCTTGATGGGGCGGACGAGGCCGCGGAGGAGGACCTGGGAGGTGGATTTCGGTGCGGTGCCCGGGGCAGTGTCATCGTAGACGCTCCGGAGCTCGGGCCGGTTCAGTTCTTTCCGGAGGCGGGCGACTTTGCGGTCGATGAGGACGCGGGGGTTGGTCTCCTGGTTGAAGATGGCGATGACGAGGGCCATGGGCGTGGCGGCGATGAAGGCGATCCATGAACACCAGCGCCAGCCGACGTCCTGGGCGACAAAAGCGCCGACGATGGGTGCGATTGTCGGGCCAATGAGGGGCCCTATCATCCAGATGGAGATTGCGGTACCACGCTCGGCGATGGGGACCATGTCCGCGATGACGCCGCCGCCGATGGCGAGACAGCCGGAGCCGCCCATGCCTGTGAGGAAGCGGAAGACGATGAGGGAGTCGAGCGTGGGCGCGAGGGCACAGCCTATGAGCCAGGCGCAGAAGAAGAAGTTTGCGGCTGTGAGGACGGGGCGGCGGCCGTACATTTCGGAAAGGGGCGCCAGGATCAAGGGGCCGACGGCGTAGCCCAGGAGGTAGATGCTCACTGGCAATGTTCCCAATGTGAGGTCGGCGTTGCCGTAGTCTTCGTTGAAGTACTCGATGGCAGGCGCGAGGATCGAGGACGCAAAGGGGGTCATGAAAGTGATGCCGGCCAGGAACCAGATGATGATCCACTTGCGGCGCCGGGGGAAGTTCATGGGCATAGCCGGGTCGTCTTGGGAGTCCCAGCCGACGATGTCATTGTCGAGGTCGGAAACGGGGAGGGTTGTAGGAGGGAGTTGTTCCTTTTCCTTGCGCCGCGAGGATGCTAGGCTTGCTATGTGGGAGAGGCGGCTTTTTGCGCTGGTGTGGGAGTGTCCTGTGTGTATGCGTTCGACGACGATGTCCTGGTGACGGAGTTAGCACAGAAGGGGTATCTTGAGACAAAGCAGACTGTCAACAGATTTGAATATTCCTAGAGAGGTCACAGAGGAAGACAAATAAAGTGCCAATGATGATCAAGTCTTGGCAAAACTCTTAAAACAGGTGCAAGAAGTTCTGCCAAGGAACATTCTGAAGGAAAAGTTGAAACTCACCTCCTGGTACGGCTCGCTGTCGGGCGTATCCTCCACATCGTCGAAGCTCTTTCTCTCTTCCATTTCAGTCTTTTCACCCTTTTCCAAATCGCTTGACGCGTTGAAGTTTTGTCGAGGCTCCCGTTCCGCCAGCGTGCCCTGATCCGAGGTGGATCCTCGGGGGCCGTGGGCGCCGGCCGGCGTCTCCACGTCCTTCTCGGACGTCATACTTGGGGGACAAAAGTGGGTTTTCTCTATCAATGAAGAATGAATGAAGAAATTGAGTAGTTGGAAGTGATGCCACTTGAAATCAATAGGTAAGAAGGAAAGGATTTTGTAGGTGAAAGGGAAATGAAGAACGAGAATGACGATGAGGAAAGAGCAAAGGGCCCGGATGTAGTAGCCGGCGGGAGGGCAAGCAAGCACGTAAGGTATCCGCGTGCCTGGCGTATCTATCCATCTGGGTAGTAATAATTCTCAGTCGCGCTGCCGTGACTCTACGGCAGGAGCAGTGAGGGAAACTGCTTTAGTAATTCTAACCCGAGACCCCCCTCTCTCCTACCTTTCCCCCCAGTTGCCGCATCTACCCTTGTGTAGGGAAGGGCGCAAGGCAAGGGCGACGATCATTCGAGGTGAATGGTGTAACGTTATTCGACCAGTACTCTCCAAAGTCCCCATTCCATCATCTTCGGCCGACCACCCCCTTGCGACTTGCAGGCCTAAGCTGCAGGAAGGTGCTTTTAGCCTCTCTTTCGCCGCCGGGGTTTTCGCTCCCCTCTGAGTCGTCTCAGTCGGGGCTAACAACTCCATATTTTATCTCCGTTACCCGCTTCGCGGCGGGCAGAGTTGGGGTATGGGGATCGGGGGTGGGAGGGGCACATCGTACACAGTACCTAAAGAATGAGAAGATAGGCAGTTTACACTAGGTATCCGTACCTATGTAAGGTAAGTAGGTATGTGATGGAGCTCACGGACTAGGATGCACTAAGGAGACCCAACCTCGGATCTTGTTTCTCAATGACAGGCCGTGACGGCGATGGGAGAGTCTAGGACGCGGGGTTCGTTGGAGACGGAGCCGCGGACTATCCATGGAGATCAGCGAGGGACAATAAATTGGGGCTGACTACCTACCTGTACGGCAAATCGGCAGTGTTTGGCGTTCCGTCATCTCTCTGCCGTGGCATTCTTAATTCCGCGTTTCTCTACTTTGTTTTCCGCAGTTGGTAGTCATTGGTTGCAAGCTGGAATGCTCTTTGTAAAGCTTCATGTATCCAGGAGGAACATCGGAAGTAAAGTGTGTATTGTGCTGTGGTGTTTGTAAGTTGACAGACAGACAATGTAGGATGAAGTTCCAATTACCAACACAACAAGAGTCTTAGAGTTTGTAATCAATCAACTTTAGAGATAGAGTTCATTCGCAACTGTCCAGACAGCAGACTCAACCACTGGTCAATGCGCCTTTCCAGTCCCTTCCCCGGCCCCACTTCGGTTGCCAACTCCCGTCCTCTCCTCGCCTTCCTACCTCCACAGCCTACAGAGTATTCGTACTGCATATCTGCCCCGCAGCTTCCCAGAGAGCCCAGTGCCCACCACATGGGAAAGTTCAGCGTGGTTTCCACACTTTATCCGTCTGGATAGGTACTCCGTACTCCAAAAAAGAAAACCGGAAAGGGAAGCCACCATCGATAACGCGGCCCCCTGGAAGAGAGTGGGGACCTCTTTCTCCAAACTGACGAAGCCCTCCTCCACCTTGTGCAACTGTGTCCCGTCGCAAAACATTTAACATTGCGACCTTCCTTTTCTTTCCATTGTGAGAGCTTCGACCACTCTCTCCGGACAACAAAACCACCTGTGCACCTGTCTACTTACCTCATGCACATAAATACAATGAAATCGCATCACAGCCAAGCCTAGGATCCTACAAGAAGCAAAGGAAGTGACACCGGTACCCAGAAAGCTACTGGTACCACAACCACCACCCCGCGGGCGTGTTCTTGCCCGCAGAAAACCGACGATACCACAGCCCAAGATGGCCTCCTCTTCAACCTCCTCCCCGACCCTCACCCGAACCGAGACCCTGAGCCTGGGAGCCCTCTCCTTTGCCGCAGTCGCAGTCCTCCTCAATGCCTTCCAGGGCGAGGGCGAGCCCCTGATAGCGTCACTGGCCCTCTCCGTCCTGGCCTTTGCGCTGGCCTATTCCATGATCCGATGGCTTGGCCCAGTCTTTAAGCATGCCGGCTTCAAAGGTCGCGACCTCTCCAAGCACCACCGCCCTGAGCTCCCCGAGTGCATGGGTGCTGTCTGCGCTGCAGTCTACCTCCTTGTCGTCATCGTCTTCATCCCCTTTCCCTTCTACAAGGACATTGTTGCCGCCACTAGCGGTGGTGGAAACAGGGACGTTGTATTCCAGGTCGAGCATGTCCAGCAGGGACGGTTCCTGCATCGCTTTCCCCATAGCAAGGTTAGCAGCACATGTCTCCTCGAGCGCAACACCATGAGAAGCTACTTACTGACTTATTCTAACCCACCAGCTTGCCTCCTACCTCTCCGCCATCATCTCCCTCCAGACGACCGCCCTCCTCGGCATTGGCGACGACCTCTTCGACATCCGATGGCGACACAAGTGGTGGATCCCAGGCCTGGCCTCGGTCCCCATCCTCGTAATCTACTTTGTCGACTTTGGCGTCACCTCCATCGTCATCCCGATCCCCCTCCAGCCCTACCTCGGCGAGCTCTTCGACCTCGGCGTCCTCTACTACATCTACATGTCCTGCATCGCAATGTTCTGCCCCCAGTCCATCAACATGCTCGCCGGCATCAACGGCATCGAGGTCTCCCAGTGCATCGTCGTCTCCCTCCTCCTCGTCCTCAACGATTGCCTCTACCTCTTGACGCCTTACCCACACCCGGCCACCGACTCCCACCTCTTCTCCCTCTACCTTCTCCTTCCCTGGCTCGGCGTCTCCTTCGCCCTCGTCCTGCACAACTGGTACCCCGCCAAGGTCTTCGTCGGCGACACATACTGCTACTTCTCCGGCATGGTCTTCGCGACGGTCGGAATCCTGGGCCACTTTTCAAAGACGCTCGGCCTCCTCCTCGTCCCCCAGCTCTTCAACTTTCTCTACTCGACGCCCCAGATCTTTGGCCTCATCCCCTGCCCTCGCCACCGCTTGCCCCGATTCAACGCTCGCACCGGCCTCCTCGAACCGAGCAAGACCCCCTGGAGCCCCGAACGCCAACCTCGCCCTCTCGTCGCGCAAGGACTTCACCTGCTCGCGAAGTTGCACCTTCTGGAGGTTACAGTGGACGAAAAGGGCCGCTTCGTCGAGACAAGCAACTTGACCCTCCTCAACCTGTGGCTCGTCTGGAGAGGTCCCCTGAGAGAGGACCGTCTCGCGTGGGAGGTCACCTTCCTCCAGCTCTTTGTCGGCCTGTCTGGCCTCTTTGTCCGACATCGCCTCGCTCTGCTCATCTTTAAGGAGGATAACTGGGGTATGACGACCAAGAGATACTGATCAACCCTGCTGTGTTGATCTGGGCCTAAGAGACAAGAACTCTCAGGGCTTCGCACTTTTATCACTGTTCACAAATTCCGGAATGACATTCCATCCGGGGATTTTCTTGTTGCTTCATTTTCGCATGTCTGGATTTCGCATCGCAAAGGGACGGCAAGGCTAGGAGAGCCGTCTGTACTATACCAAAAATGGTTGGAGGTTTGAGATTGAGATACCCTGTAAGAGTACCTAGCGGGTAAATATGACCCGAGATTGACACTCTCGAAAGTTGGTCGAGAAAATCAAGAGAATAAAACATCACATCACAACCATGGTCTCATATGAACAGTAATATGTGAGTCAAAACTTAGGCAGCCTCTCAGCTGCAGAAAAAAGAGCCATCCATTTGTCATGGGAGGGGTGTAGTAGTCCCGCACCGAGCAACTATCCGTGTCCTCGGCACAGCTAACAAAAGCCTAGAAATACACACGAAAACATGCCGTTCGTGGCAATAGTAGTTGCAATCCTTCCTCCCGTCTTTTCTTCATCTCGTATCCCGCCGTCAAGATTTTCGCCTTGCTCACTACGTCTGTCCCATTCCTTACGTTGCGCCGTAGACCCCATGGAAAAGATTCAGCTTCCTGTCCTGCCAGACGACGGAGAAAAAAAAGTGTCGAAATGGGCATGTGTTTTTCGTAAAGACGTGCATTTTCTTTTTTGCAGCTCCTCCAAAGAAAACAACAACAGTAAAACGCAGTTCATCTGAAGACATTCCCGAAAAAGCGCTGACCAGAACCCGAGGATCCCCCCCCAACCCCTTTCCTATTCCCATTGTCCGTCGCTGCCCAAACGCCAAAGTCAATCACCAGACTGTCGCCGCCCCGAAACGTTTTGATAATATTTAGAGGGGAAATGAAAGCCGCCGTGTCGTCTTCGAGACTCGTGAACCCCGATCTATGTTACATCGTGTTGGCGGCCGCAGCCGCAGGATTCGAGTTGATCGTGTTACCCGTGACGGGTGTAAGAACATCCGCATTTTTCTCAACCACTGGAGAATCGACAGTCGCATCAAGTGTTGGCTTCGTCTCCTCAGTGCCAGACAACGAGGTCTTCAGAGTGCCAGCAGGCTTGGCTTTGTTCATCCTGCTCTTGGTATAGTCGCTGAGGCTCAACTTCTTCTTCACCGGACTGGGGTGTGCCGCAACACCATTGACCGCAGTCGTAGCAAAAGGGCTAGGTAGGCTACCTGCAGAGAATGGCGACTGGATTGTCGATGGCGTTGTGGCGCTGGGAGTCGCCGATGTAGTTCCGTTGAAGGCGGGAACCGGTGGCATCGTGACTCGCAACTCCGGTGATCGCATCTTCAACGGGCTGCTTGCGCCATTCGCAGGTCCATCAGAAACGTTATCGGTCTGCAGGGGCGATTTGAGCGTGCTTGGCGAACTTGTCGGAGCATCCGACATCAATACATCGCCAGCGGGAGGAGCAGCTGGCGATGTCTCGCGGACTTGGTTGCCAATAGCCTTGGAGGGCGGGGAAGAGTCAGCGCTAAGCTTGGGCTCAGCCGGTTGATCCACGTCCATAGGTGTTGGTTCCTGAGTGGAGAGCGAAGAGAGCGACTTGCGTCTCTCGACCTCATCACAGCGTAGGCGATGCCGATTGTTGAGCAACCGTTGTGAAAGGGAAATGATACGTCGTCGTGGCCTGGGTGTTTGGACGGGCTCACTATACCACTCGCCTTCGACAGGGTCGGTTTGTACGCCAACATCGCAGTATACGGGACGAGGTGCGGATGATGTTCGTCCGGACTGTGAACCGACCGACTCGGCTCTGGCGGCAGGTGCCTTGAAGGGATTCTGTGCCGTTGGTGACACGCCACTTGAAGGAGAATTCGACTTGCTTCGAGATGTTCCCGCGTCGACATAGTGTGTAGTGCCGCTAGATGCGTTGCTCGTCAAGCGTTGCTTCATCTTGGAAGAACCGGAAGTGGAAGTGGAGGCCGCGCTATCGGATGTCCGCTTCTTTTTGCGCGGAGGCTGTTGCTGCTCCATCCGTCGGAAGGAGTCCTCAACCATTTGAACCTTTCGCTTGTCCCTGTCAGTAGGTTCTGTGAGGATACCTGGCCGATCCAATGAACCCTGGCGTACGGGCGTGCGATCACGACTGGGCGGTTTGCTGCGATCAGAAACTGACCGACCGTCGTTGTCAGCGTCGTCTTGATGTCCTTCGCTGGCTGCGCGACTGTTTGTAGCGTGCCCGGTGCTGGTGGGCGAGATGGTGTGGTTTTTTGGCTTTCGTTGCTTCTTCTTTGCGGGAGGCCGAGACTGAACCTTCGCTTGGTGTTGTCTGTGGAAGCGAGCAAAGGCACAGTTTGCCCCCAAGTCACACGCACAGCCGCCGTACTCGGACAATATCCGATGGATCCAGCCCGATAGTGTTTGGTACTCAGCCTCGTCCATTTCAGACTCGTTCTGCGTATTGGTGTCATCGTCGGCGAGGCCCAGAAGATGCACCAACCGTGCCTGAAACTTCTTGGGTAACCTGAAGTCCCAGGGAAGTGTGATTTGCTCGTTTGCCGCGATGTATCTGTCGCTCATAAGCCAGAAGTGATATTCGGACTGGCCTGACAAGTAGGTATCCAGCAGGGCGTTGGGTTTGCAACTTCTTCGAACGAAGCGAGCCATCGATCCTTCTTTCCTGGTATCAATGTATAACGGAAGCATCGGGTGGAAGAAAACAAAAGGTAACGGGGATGAGAGTTCCTCCCAAAGATTTTCGGGATCTGCGCAGTAGTCCTTTTGAAATCCGATCACGCCGTTGAGTTCAATCAAAGGAACGTCTTTCTCGATGGCGGCGGGGGTGGCGAGGTATTGCCATCGTAATGTCGTCTCTGGCGAGATAGGAATCTTCTTGCTCTCGACATGGAGCTGACGCTTACGAGCATCGATGTCTTTCGGCAGCTTAGCAAAGACGTCGTTGAATTCCTCGCCAGTCTCTTGCCTCATACGGTCCGGTTCTCGAAGCCAAACTGACAAAGTGTTGGAAACGAAGAGGCTTGCAAAGGAATTGATGCGAGTCATGGGGATGTCTGCTTCTTTGCTCATAGACAAGAAGCCATCCGAGTAATTGTGTATTTGGAAATCGCTCGGAAGGTCCGGGGGAGTAGTTGCTGGACTTGGGGGGTGACCGTTGGGTTGTGATCGCCCACCGTTTCCGTACGAAGGACTTCGCTTTGCGTTCTGAGAACTGATCGAGTGTGATGGGCGATGGGATGATTTCACCTTCTTTGTCGGATGAGGGTGGTCGCTCGGACTTCCGTGCTTTGCATTCTCCTGGCCCACAGGGTGACCGTTCAACTGCAAGTCCGTTGGCTTGGGCTTCTTTTTGTGGCTTTTGGATGGCGGGCGTTTGGCCTTCTTGTCTGGTATGGTTTCTGTCGTGGGACCATTCTTTAGTCGCCGGGTTCGCTCGATGGCCTTGTGTCGATCTAGGGGACGCGGCTTGCAATCAGCGCACGAGTGGGCAAAGTCTTCGCGGAGAGCCTCCTCGCGGCTGTGAGGGTAGAAACAGTCGATGTGCTGCCACGTGTCACACGTTTCGCAGTAGATCGTGTTTCCATCATCGTCAGTGAAGTTGCAGATACACTTAATGGTGTATGGCTCTTCTTCCTCTACCGTCTCGGCCTTGCGTGGCACATTGTGTGTTGAGACTGGTACGCTCGGAGCGAAGAGGGTCTGACTAGGAGTCGCGGTCTGCGTCGACAGCGGCTGGGGCTTTTCGGTCATAATCTAGGATTGCCTCGTGGTGCTAATTGAAGTCGAGGTATTGCGTGAGGTGATTACTGTTGCGGCCTGGGTAGCATGACGACGCCTGTTTAGACGCACAGGAGCAAGCCGTCGAATGAACCACAGAAACAGCAGGACGTAGGGTCGCCGTCATCCGTCGGCCAGAGGTGTGTAGTCGAGTCGAGAGATCTCGACGAAGTCGGAGGAGATAGGACTCGGTGGGATTGTCGAGTCTGGCTCACAAAGGACAGGTCGTCGCAGAGTCGAGAAACGGGCCAAACAAATCGGTTTTCCAGTCACCGCGGTTGCCCCGAATCCAGGACGATGCAGCCAGAACGCCACGACCGTGTCTTGTAGGCGTCGTGAGGTGGAAAAGTTTTCGAATTGTGATCGCGAAGAGCGTGTCCACGAAACCGATCGAAGCCAGAAGGCGGACGAGGTCGAAGAAAGGGTTGAGCGGTTGCGCCTCGTCGACGGGGAGGGATAGAGCGTTTCGAAAAGCTGGACCGAGTCGAGAGGACGTAGTATGATGAGGAAATCGAGTGTTGAGGACCGGATGTGAGGGAGAGTAGGGTGTTTTGGGTCGAGAAAATGAGGGTGGAAAAGAGATTGAAAGAGAAGAAGAGAGGGGGGCACGACACGAAGGAGAGAAGGATGGATGGGTCCCCCAAAGGAGCGTAGCAGAGAGCAGCGGTGGTAGCAGCAGCAGCAGCAGCAGCAGTAGTAGCAGTAGGAGTACTGGTGCCGGTGCAGGTGCTGGTGCGGTGCGAGTTGAGAGCGAGACAGGTCCCAGTGCAGGAGCGTGCAGACCGGAGCCCAGTCCAAGCCGAAAAGAGAGAGGGCGAATGAGTAGGAACAGTGACTGCACTGCTTAGGTTGGGGGACTTGGGACTTCTGCGGCTTGGGGACTGGACTGACTGGCACCTTGTGCTTCGGTGCGCGGATTGCGGACTGGGTGATGGGGGGGGGAGGGAAGGCAAGGGAAGGGGAGGGGGGGGCGTCTTTGAAGATGGGATTTTTTGGGGGGGAAGGGCGATGAGGACTCTCTCAGGACGGGTTGCTGGGTGCTGGGATGCTTGGGGGAGCATCGCACCTGCTCAGCTCGAGTTGCCCTGGCTCATCGCCCGCTTGCTGCTGGGGAGCACTGGCTACCACCAGCCAGCCCGCCAGCCGTCACAGCCTGGTACAGCCGGACATGCGCTGGAAGGGAAGAGCGACGACAGGAGTCGCCCAGACGGGAGAGAGAGAGACGGGAAGACAGACGAGAAAGAGAGTGAGATAGACGGGAGACGAGGGCAGAAAAGCCAAAGCCCGTGTGTAGGGGAAAACAGGGTACACAGGTACCAGTACTTACTTGAAGCTAAACCCGAAAGGCGGTGGACACGCTGATATGAGTGGCTACGGCAGTCCAATCAGCCCTCTGGCGCAGGCCCAAGATGCCTCAGGCAGAAGAGGTTTCAGGCCGCAACCAGACACAGAAAGAGAGAGATGGGGGAGGAAGTGTGTGATGGTTTCCCGTCTGATGAAGGACTGGGCGAGTGCCTTGTTAGCCCTCCGCACCAGACACGCCTGAAAAAGGTCGACCAGGCAAAAGATGACGAGTAAAAAAAAAAAAAATTTCCAGTCTGAGTGGGAGAAGAAGCAAAATGTTGGAGAGAAAGTGGGGTATAGAACACTTTTCGCAATAAGTGTACAGAAAACAAAATGAAGGAGACATTCGACTAGAACAGACTCTCATCATCTTGATGAGAGAGTAGAGCAGCTGGCGGCCACGGGATGTCGATTTGATGTGAACAAAAACAAGAGGCAGACTCGTCTGGTGGGAGTGGAGGGACAAGAGGCGGCATGCAAAGATTTCATGAGTAATAAGAGAGAAAGAAATGGGCAGGCAGCGTGGTGTTGGTGTTTGGTGCGAGTTGGGTGATCGACCCTCTCTGGCCCTAGCAGAAACGGCGGGCGGATGTGACGGGAGGAGCGAGAGGTGGAACGACCGAGGGCGAAAGGCGATGGCAGACTGGTCGAGGACTGGTCGAGGACTGGTCGAGGACTGGTCGAGGACTGGTCGAAGGAGGGGTGA